TTTTCAATAAAACATCTACTCTAATCCAATTTTCCTCTCCAAGCCAGAACTTGTAGGAGGTAACCCCCATGTCTGACACAACTGTTTCCCTCACACCAGCCTGGCAAGGAGGTACCCATGTCTTAAGCTGAATCACAGCATCATTTAACAAGTCAAAAGGTACATTCATAGGATTAACTATCCAGGACTGGTTGCATGAGAAGAACCAAGTAAAAGGTACATTCATAGGATTAACTATCCAGGACTGGTTGCATGAGAAGAACCAAGTTTGTATGCAAGTTATTCTCAAATACTGTGCTGGTCTATTCAAACTGCCATAACAAAATACCATAGGCTGGGTGGCTTAGAAATAACAGAAATTTATTTCTCAAAGTTCTGGGGACTTGAAGTCCAAGATCAAGGCACCAGCAGATTTGGTACCTGATTCACAAATGGGTATCTTTTTACTGTATCCTTACATGGTGAAAGGGGTGAGGGTGCTTTTTTATATAAGGACAATAATCCAATCCTCAAACTTTCCACCCACATTACATGCTCATCCCAAAGTCCCCACCTCCTAATACCCTCCCCTTGGTGGTTAGAATGGCAACTTGTGGATTTTGAGGGGACTCATAAACATTTAATCCATTGCATATTTGTTAGAAACATATCTGATAATAATCAGTCTCTTCATTACAAGGAACATCCTTCAGTAATGAAATTCACCTGACACTCCAATTTTTCTGGGCAGTCATTCATTTCCAACTGTCCTCTCCCTTCTAACCACCAGAATGCATTGTCATACATTCTCATTCATTCTTTCTCTTTGTCTCCTCTCTCTTTTCCTCTCCTCTCCTCCAGGATCTCAGCAAAGGCTGCTGGCAAGATGAAGATATTAAGTATACCCACAAGAAGAGTTCACTGGGCAGACATTCTCTCTGACATAACTATTGTTCCTTGAAGGCCTGGGGACAGTAGGTCATTATTTAACTGAATGGGCCAAAGCAAGACTGGAATAAAGCCTCCTGAAGAATGACAGTTCTCACACAGCTGACCACTCTGAGTCAGACTGGCAGGGATGAGCTTCTCATTTATCTAGCCATCACAAGAAGTCCCAGGTCTACATTGGGTCCCATCTACACTTGCTTTGTCTGTAGAATTTTCCTTGTTAGTTATTCTGAATACTATAGCTTTTTGGAACACAAGTGATAATTGCCCAAATGATTCTTTTAACTCAAATCATAACTGAAAAATATAAGAAACAAAACCATTGGCTAGATTGTTTGAAAAAAATCTCTTTATTCTTAGATGACTTATTTCTACCTGCCAAAAAAAAAGACGTTCAGCCTGCTTTAAAGTTTGATGAGATAATAATTAGTAGCTACAGGAATCACATAACTGCAAGGCTGAAAGCAACCTTAAACTACAAAGGCCAGCTGTTTCACCATACAGGTGAAAATAAGGCAGAGAAAAATTAGGTACCTGCCACCAGTTTGAGGTATGTTTGACTAGAACTTGAATGTTTTAACTCTCAATCTAAACTTTCTACATCTCTCTCCTGAACCCACAAGGAAAAAATGCATTAATGTTATCCTTCCTATCAATAGTTGAAAGAATTTTTTATTCCCAAACAGAAATTCAGCAGCTTGATCCCACATTTATAAATTCCATAGCAACACACATTTTTTTAAATATTAAATTTTGAAGAAGCATGTATTATAATACCCAAGACTGGATTACTGAGCCCAAACAAGCATTACACCAAGAAAATTCATCAGATAGGCGACAATGCCACACCATTAAATAATATTTTCTTCCTTGTCATCAAGCTAACAACATAATACACCAGTGTACACTACAATTTCCACTCTGGGAGAAACCAGCCAGCTTTTGCTTTTCACAACAGATATTTTACTATCGATCAAGACAGATCTGCAGCGGCCCTCCCTGCCCCTCGCCAGAGCTAAGTAGAGTAGAAAGGCTCTGCTCAAACCCACCAAGCTTTGGGCCATTCACACACTCAGTCGAGTCACTGAATGGATGCTGCTCCATTTTTAACCAGCCAAGCTGGGCATCCACATCGCTGTTCATATGGTACTATCACATAGCATTGTTCTGGCTGCCAGAGCCTCCACAGCCAACCCCGGCCTGCCCCAGGGAGGGTGAATGCAAAAAGCTAGAGCTGTTGAACTGGGCAAAAGTCCAATTCAGTCAATTCTTTACAGCAAGAAATTATATAAGACTAAGGAAAGAGTATTCAAATTTACTATTTTAGCCTCAACAAGGACATTACAGACCCCATGTAATGGAAATAAAGATCTTGGACAATCTATTTCATAGATATGTTCTTAGCTTTGAAATAAATGACAATAGAGGAAGAAAAACAAATAGGATCCTGAGGGAATTATTCCTATTATAAAAGCATTTCATTTCACAAAGCGATACATAACAGGCTCCTTTCGAACATGTTATACATTATAGAATATCGCAAAAAAATATGCATGCACAACGTATTAGAGGGTACTGAAATTGAGTTGTACCTCACTATTTCAGTTATGTTGATTCAGGCCCGTGATGGATGCTAAGATGAAGGCCACAGACTGGATGCCAGAATGTGTCATGTCGGTTTGAGAAGAGGAACATGCCCAACTCATAATTTGGGATACAACTCTACACTTGGATTTTTGAAGAACTGTGAGAGTCTAAACAGTAAAGTCTGAACAGTAAAGACAGAGTTGTCACTGCTATAGCAAGAAACAAAATAGACACCCTTCCTAAAGTCAGTAGCATCCTGTGTTTTAAAGGCCATACTGAATTACTACTCTGAACATTAATCATAAACTTTCACTTTCCATACAGACCATTAAATCATCTGCACTTGAATCAATGGCCTGAAAGAAACTGACCAACTCTACATACCCATCTGAGGACATTTGCTGTGACTGACAGTTGAAAGCAGCTGACCCCTTTGTGTAAACTCTAAGTCGCCAGATTGTGCAAAGGAAGAAAATACTGTTCAGGAAGAGGAAAAATAAACTTCCAGTTTTCAATGAAAAATTTTTTAAGGCAGAGAAAGTCTAAGTTTAAAGCTATCCCCATTCTCTAATTTTATTTTTCTCCAACCTAATGAACAGCCTGGAATCAGCTTTCTGCATAGCTGACATGGTTCTGTTTTCCAAAACATAAGACTATACATCTCTTTCAAATGCATAAGCTAGCTAAAAGTGATCCCACCCAGAATGTCAGTCAGAACTGATTAGATATCATTCCGCAACTGTGTGGAGCTCCTACAATGTGTCAACACAGAGTAACCTGCTGTTTCCTGGGAGTCTTCTTTTTTTGAGAGAGATTGCAAGGTTAGATATGAATTCCTATTTTCTATAAGTAATATTTGCTCTACAAGCAACTCAAAACCTGCCAACACACCCTTTTTCACAGTAAGTCTTGGTGCTAGACAGGATCAAAGAGATATCTGTACTGGATTCCAATCATTTAAAAACAGGTTTTTCAACCCTGGCCAGGTAGTTCAGTTGGTTGTCCGGATATGCCAAGGTTGTGGGTTCAATCCCTGGTCAGGGCACATACAAGAATCAACCACTGATGCATAAAAAAGTAGAACAACAAATCTCTCCCTTTTATCCCCCCCCTCCGCTTCCTCTCTCTCTAAAATAAATTTTTAAAAAACAAGTCTTTAAATCTGTTGCATTGTGCACCCTGAATCTCTGCATGAAGATAGGTCACTTGGTTCTTAAGCAACAATGTTGCCCATTGAAAAATGCACCTTTCTTAAACACTTACTTTTTGTTCCCAGGAAGCTTTGTCTGTTGACATTTACAGCACAAATGACAAAAATCCTCAATTTTCCTGCCATCCTCAATAGCAGGTTTTAGGCAAAAAAGAAACAGCAAACAAAATAACAGAGCAGAAGCTTAAACAAACCAAGGTAAGTTGAGGGCAAAGAGAGATGGAGTGGAAGTGAAAATGGAGAGTATCTTCTGTGTTCTAAGAAATTCAGCCTTTCCTGATGAAGGGGGCGAGGGGAGAATAGAATAAAGGGGTGGTGAGGTTTTCAGTTGAGAAAAGACGTGTGCGCTGCTATCCCGATTTTGTTTAAATAAGACCAGGGGAGCCACAGCAGGGCAAAATCTATTTTAGCGACTAAGACTAAATCAATGAAAGTAGCACAAGTTTCTTCATGACACAGAGTGGCTACCCAACCAAATCTGAGATTTATACAAGCAATAGTATGTGAATTCTTTAAAATTTTTAAGTGCGTTCTGATACTCAAAGTATGGTGATTCATAGGAAATATCTATCAATTTAGTATCACCCTTTTGCAGGCTGTCCGCCCCGTCCTGTCATACCCTCTTTTAAAGAAACAGCTAACGGCCTGGGGTGCTGGAAACCTACAAACTAGTCACCTATTGCCCAGGACTGTGGGCCTGACACTCAATGTCACAGACGGAAACCGAACGGGGGCCAGAAGCCGAGTCCCTGACGAATTCGTGAAGCACAGTCCAGATAATCCGTGTGCTGGGTGAATGGACTGAAACAGTGAGCGGTTCCTCCGCCCTCCCGGCCGCGTCCCTAACGTTTCTGGCTGTCAGGTGGGTGGCAGCGAGCCTCGGCAGGCAAGCCCTACCCGACAGCCCAGCGTGTTCGCAGGGTGGAGAGGAACACATCCCACGGAGCACACAGCGCGTCCCACAGCGGACCGCTGCGCTCACCTTTGTTCGCCTGCTCTCGCTGCGAGGGGAGAGCCGGCCACAGAGGAGTGCGGGAGCCACCCCAACGCTCTCGCGGCTGCTGCCTGGCGCCTGGAGGAGTCCGTAGGCAAGCCAGACTCCGTCTATATCCCCGAACCACAGAGGGACTGAAAAGGTCAGCAACCCCATCCCCGAACACAAAGACTGGGAGGTGCGAGTGCTGGAGGCGCGGATGCGTGAACCACACAGCACACGAGTGTGCGTGTGCGCGCGTGTGTGATAGGGGGAGGGGAGGGGCGCTCCAAACCTTCTTACCTCTCGAAGAGAAGTCGCACCATGAAGATGCAAAAGGCCAAGGGGAAGGCGAGATAGAGGTCCTCCGCCTGTGGGAAGGTGGCTTCCTCCGTGTTTTTCAAGTCCGCCCAGGTGACATTGTGCGGCAGCCAAAATCTCTCGTTCCAGAACCAGGCTAAGATCCCTGCCATCTTGCTTTGTCCACTCCTGTCCCGGCTCCCGCGGCCCGCCCAGCTCTTTGCTGTGCAGGTCACCCAGGGATGCGCGCAGCTGGCCCAAGCCTGTGCTCCCGCCGCCGCCTCTTTCTCAGAGACCGCTGCTCTCGAAGGCTCGCGGTGAGCCCCAGTTCTCTCTTCCCTCTGGCCGAGCTGTGGAAAAGAGCCGCCTCGCCCGTCACGTGGCAGCCCCGCGGCTCTTCCTGATTGGTTGGCCCTCGTGTCAAGCAGCAAAGCACACGCGGCCAGCTCGCCCACGCCCGGAGGGAAGGGCGCAGCCGCTGCGCCCTGGGCGCGGGGCACTGTCCGGGAAGAGCTACCTGTCCCTGTGCTCACGGTATTCTCACTTTATGCTTTAGATAGCGACTTGGGGCCGCCCCCCACACACACCCTCGTCCACCCCTCGCACATGCTCAGAATGCCGGCCCCTGCCCCGCTGGAGTTTCAGGGGTTTCAGTCTACTTCCCGTGCGCCTGCAGGCAGTGAAGAGGCAAGTAGGGGCCAGGGCGATCTTCAGAACCACCCCCAGCACTTTAGAGAAAATGGCAAAAGGAGAAGTGGGGGGCGCAACGAGCAAGGGAGGAAGAAGTAACAGCAAAGGAGAGTCATCCACTCCAGAGGCAGGGCAAAATCAGGAACTGGAGTCATGAATGGTTTGACAAGAGCCATCTACCTCTACCCCTCATCTTCCCCCCATCTCTGACCTTCAGGCCTCCTTATACTATTTCTGATCACCACATCAGTTCCCCCAGGGAACAAGGCCCTCTTATTTTAATTTATGAGGTGGTAGGAGAATTCAGGCACTTAATTGCTATTTGATGATGATGATGATGATGTTGACAGCAATTGCAGTATTCTTTAAAACAGCCCCCTCTAAAGGAACCTCTGAGAAAATGCCAGGAGACCACATTTTGGCTTCACAGATCAGTAGAGAACTTTGTTATTTGAGAGGCTCATTATTAATGCCTTTCAAATCTGAAACCTTTAAGTCATTAGCCCCTAAGGTCTAACCCAGGCACTTTCTCTCCCACAATATTATTTCCTCACTGATTTGGGAGTTATGTGTGAATCATTTCAGTGGCCCGTGCAGATATTTTGCTCCTTTTTCTTAAAATCATTCATTTTCTGCCTGATTCTGCCAGTCAAAGTTTGACTGGACCTTTCCAAGAGCTTATAAACAGGCCTTAACGCATACTTCTTTACTCTCCTGCTCTCTCCAGCTACTGCCCTCTTTTCAGGCCTCCCCTATAAAGCAATACTCTAAAGAATTGCCTATATTTATTGCTTTCTGTTTCTTCTCCCTCCATTCTCTTTCGAACTTCTATGTTGGCATTTGCTTCTCTCTGCTGCCCTAATTGCTCAAAGTCTCCAATGGCGTCCCTGTGCTGAACCCAAAGGTCAGTTCTCAGCAACTCTATCAGCAGCGTTTGGCCAAGTTGTTCAGTCCCTGACTCGTGAAACACTTTTTTCATCTTGGCTTCCAGAAACCACATTTTTCTGGTTTTCTCTTACCTCATAGCCACTTTTTGCCCATTCTCCTTGATGATTGCTCCTCACCTTCCTAACCCCCTAAAGTCAAGTGTCTTTGGAGTCAGTCTTTTGTCCTCCTCACTTTTCTATCTACATTCATTCACTTTGTGATCTAATTCAGTATCATGACTTTCAAGTTCATACTGATGGCGCCCAAATACATATACCCAGCTATGAACTTTTCCTTGAACTTCACACTCCTAAATCCACTATCAATTCAACAATTCCACTTTGATGTCTAAGAGCCATTTCCTGTCTAACCTACTAATTTTCTCCCTAAAATTTTTCCTCCTTTCATTTTGGCTCAGGCCAGGAGGCTTGGAGTCATCTTTTTGCTTTACTTTCTCACATCTCCTTTCTAATCCATCACAAATCCTATCTGCTCCATCTTTAAACCAGAATCACATCATCTCTCACCTCTTCTGCTACCATCTTGGTCCAAACAAGGAGTATTTCTCACCTGAGTGACCCCAGCGGCCTCCTAACTCAGCCAGAGCGACCCTGTTGCAATGTAAGTCAGATCACTGCTGTGCTTTAAAGCCCTGCTGCCTCCCTATTTATCTGCATTTGGGAGCCAAGTCATTTCAGTGTTCTGAGATATTTGATTCCATGTTAACTCTCTGCCCACATCTACTCTCTCCTTTCCTTCTCTCTTAGTCTTCTTTGGTCACATTGACCTCTCAGCCCTTCCTGCAAAACACCCAGCATGCCTTATAGCCTTTGCACTTGCTTTTCTCTATTTCTGGAACTTTTGCCCCCTAACTATTTATGTCTGCTTTTTGTAGAATGTCACTCATTCTGAAGCCTTCCTTGGCTGCTCCAGTTAATCTACAACCTTCATTTCCTACCCTACTCTACCCATCCAATTTTCCTGCTTTGTTTTCTTTCAAAACATGTATCACCGTCTAACACGATATATTCTTTACTTATTTCTTTATTGGGCTCTACACACACATACAATGTAAGCTTCAAAAAGCTAAAGATTTGTCTATCACTACTGTATTCTTAGCACTTAAAATAGTGCCCAGCCCATAGCTGGTACTCAGTAAAATATTGAATCACCATTAACTTCAATCTCACAAAAATCTTCTCTAAGAGACAGGGAAAAAATAAATACATAATTGTGTTAAATGTTTATACATGTGGTTAAAGAAGTGTTGGTATGAAGCAAGGACTGATCAGTTCTGAGGTAGGATAGGAGTGGTGTCCTCGAAGCAAGTCTTCACGAGGGAGCAGGTGTCACTGGCCATACTTTAGACCATACAGCCAGCTGCTCAGTGTTACTGATGACACTCCAGGAAGATGCCTTGACATCAACTGCATTCTTTGTTTTTAATCATCCCCCCAAAATGTCCATTGATTTAAGAGCAGAGGTGGAGAGAGAGAGAGAGGAAAAAAAACATCGATGTGAGAAACAATGATATGTTGCCTCCCTCATGCAGCCCAACTGGGGAAGCAAACCCCCAGCACGTGGCTTGACGAGGAATCAAACCTGCAAATTTTTGGTGTACAGCACGATGCTCCAACCAACTGAGCCAGCTGCCAGGGCTCAATTGCATTTTTATAGGCCACAGAGAGGAGGTTTGTTCAGGTCTCTTGCCACCTTTGTGGCAGGAAGTCATGTCATGCTAGAGATCCTAGCCTCTCGGCCAGCCAGACTCCCCCCCCCATGGCTATCTCTGGTCCCTCATGTCACTCTCATGTATAACCTGACAATATCTTGCCTTTTACCCTAGGACTTCTCTGCTTCCCAGCAGGTGCTGCTGTTCTCCAAGCCCATACAACAGGAGGAGTTCGTGAGTTAATGCCCTGGGTCCCGAACTTTGGCCAAGGGCAATGAAAGCTCATAGTTTATTACTTTCCCTTCTCTTCCCATTGGGCCACACACAGTAGCTTCAAACAGCCTCCCTGAGAACATCCTGTGATACAAAGTGATCAGCTTATTTCAAAATTGTGGCCAGCCCAGTAACTCAGTCCCTTATATTTCCTTTCTCTCTCTGCCTCACACTCCTTTCTCCTCATTCCTGCTTTGCTGAATTTACACTTTCCTAAAATTGCTATTTTTCCTAGAAAAGACAAGCTAAGATACTATTCCTTTCCTGTTCATCAACTTTGAGAAGTTGGTGGGATTTCAGGAACATTTTGAAAATGGGTTTTGTTGGATAGTGGAAGGATAATTTACTACCTCTCGGTGAATCTTGCACAAATCATTTAGTTTCTAGGAGCATTTTGATGTCCTCTGGTGTAAGTTGTGTACCAATAGTTCCTGTCTTACTTATGTTACTCAACTGTTGTGATGCTCACATGAGATAACACATATGGGGAGAGGCTTGTAAACCCTTCACCTCTATGTACATGTGCATTGTAGCAAACTCCTGCTCTGCGATCAGTCCAGCATATCTTCTCCAGGCAACAACCCCTTCCTACTACCCTCCATCATAAACACAGTATAATAAAATGTTCCATGTCTGATCATATTCTATTGGTTCAGGGGTGGACCCTTGGCCCAAGATTGCAATGAAAGTGCTTTAGGTACTGACTGGGGCATTGGTCAAGACAACCTTTCTCTGTACGCTTGGACTCTGAAATTTCCAGCTCAAAAGCTGTTAGCCCCATGTTTTATCGTGTGAACAGGAAAAGCTGAAGCTGGTCTGCAACAAGAGAGAAGAATAAAGCAGACCTGTAGAATTAGGTAAAGGTAAGAGACACAATTCCATGCAGTACCTGGGGGCCAACTGCTTTCTCAGACATGAAACAGTCATATATCTTCTCTCTCTCTCTCTCTCTCACACACACACACACACACAATTCCTCCATTTTGATTGGGTTTCTGCTATTTTAATCCAAAGGAGTCCAACTATGCAGGACATTACTCTTAAGATACACATCTTTAATGCTGAGCTGACCCCAGCACAGGACTTAGAGAAGGATGGTCACAGGAAAGACGAGCACAGCGCACCTCCCAGGGAGGCCACCTTATACCTGTGCAGGGAAGACTTCTACTTGTTGATCCAGTACACAAAAATACAATTTATTCATCACACATGTTTGAAGCCCAGTGAGAAAGCCAATACCTGACCTGTAAATAGAAAATATAAGGAAAGTAAAAAGATGAAAAAAAGTTTCTGTTGGGGTTATGGGGTGACAGCCTAGCATGTTTTGGGTCCTGAATATGAAACGTCATATAAGAGTTCACCCTCTTCTTCCCAGGCAACCAAGCTGAGCATTACTTCACATCCTTAGGCACACATCCAGGTCGTAGTCCTACATATACTTGAGTCCACTTCACAGATGCAAGAGGGCAGCCAGAAGTTTAGCTGAACTTCTCCTATGAATTGCATAACACAAACTTATAGTACTTATTTTACCCAAAGAACACAAAATCTATTTGGGAAATAGAATGTGTTCATGTGAAAAGCCAGATAGCAATGCACACCAGCACCAGTCAAGATGGCACTGGACAATGTACGACAAGATAACAAGCTTCCTGCTCAAAGCAAGCCCTTGTTATCTGCAATACTGGGGCACTTGTCACATATTGTGTTGAAGAGATCAAGAAGAGCTTCAGGAAATAGGCAGAAATGAAATCAGACTTTGAAGAGTGAGTAAATAT